ATTAGTTGATTGATGCTCATTACTAGTCTCGTTCTTATTATTGTTTAAAGTTCCCAATTTATTTTGCATATTTAGGTTGTTTATAAATCATCCAACCCCCCCCCCCCTTTTTATATATAGTGTTTTATTGTCAATGAATGTGCACACATTTACGTCTTGGACTTACGGTTAATACCGAGTCCCTGAGGAGACGACCCTACTTATCGCTATTACAAGTGTGTTTTAGAGATAATAGGCTTATTTTCATAAATTTTATTATTTGCCGGACTCGACACCCGTCAATGGAATCCCCAACAACGAGGATCAATGAAAGGCCGATTGGTGTCTACAAATCCAGCTGAAGGAGAGCGGTTCTACTTACGCCTACTTTTATCTCATATTACTGGGCCTACTTGCTTTGAAGACCTATATAGTTTCAATGGCTTATTGCACCCTACATTTCATAAACATATTTTGAGAGAGGGGTAATAGAGAACAATGACAACTTATCCCAATGTCTTGTAGAGGCCTCTTTATTTCAATTTTTGGCTGCTGTTAGGAGGATATTTGCCACGATGTTGATTTATTGTGAGCCAGGAGATGTTCGGAAGTTATGGGGTGTCCACTATGATTCACTTTCTGAAGATTATAAGCGACAATGTGAAAGTGTTAATCGAGTCTGTAATATGGTTCTAATTGATATCCTCGTTTTTCTTCAATCTATGTGTAAGAGTCTTGATGATTTCGATCTTCCAATGAAGAATTTCATGAGGTACAAGAGGAAGGCTTGATAGTTGTGGAAGATGAACACTTGCGTGTCCGTGACTCTCTCAATTCTGACCAGAAATATGCATATGATGAGATCATGAGGCACGCAGACGATGATTTTCCAGGTGTGTTCTTTATAGATAGTCCGGGTGGAACCGGGAAGACATTTTTGTACAAAGCTTTGCTTGCCAATATCCATTCACGTGGTCTTATTGCTCTCACAACCTCTTCGTCGGGTGTTGTTGCCAATAATATGCCTGGAGGGAGAACAACTCACTTTAGATTCAAAATTCCACTCAACCTTGATAATAACTCAATGTGCAACATAAAAAAACAAAGTGGGGCTGCTCAATTGATTTGAGATGCAAAAATAATCATTTGGGACAAAGCGTCGATGGCAAAGATGCAAGCGGTGGAGGCATTCGATCGAACAATGCAAGACATCATAAGGGTGGCACTCCCATTTAGCGGAAAGATAATGGTTTTGGGGGGTGATTTTAGACAAGTATTACCGGTCGTGAGGCATGGAACCCGAGCACATATAGTAGATTATATCTTATGGATGTCACCTCTTTGGCCAACGATTAAAAAGATACGGTTAACGTTCAATATAAGAGCACACACTGATCCGTGGTTTTCAGAATTTTTATTAAGAATCGTTGATGGAGATGAAGAAGCGGTGGACGAAAGCTTTATTCGCATACCGGATGACATGACCATTCCCTACACTGATAAAGGTAAGTCAAAAGATGCGTTGATTGACGCAATCTTTCCATCTCTGCAAATCAACGGAGCTGATTCAGATTATATCATTTCGAGGGCGATATTATCAACTAAAAATGAGAATGTCGATGAGATTAACGATCAGTTGATCGACAAGTTTTCTAGAGATGAAAAAAATATACTACAGCAGTACAGCTTAGACGAAGCAGAAGATGATAAGAATAACATCTATCCGATGGATTTCTTAAACTCTTTAACTGTTGGTCGTTTGCCTCCTAATTACCTTCGTCTCAAGATTGGATGCCCAATAATATTGTTACCATCAAATGGATTATGTAATAGCAGTGTATTGATATGTAGATGCCCAATAATATTGTTACCATCAAATCCCTTATGTCTGTTCGAAGACAACGTGTTCTCAATTAAGCTAAAGAGAAAACAGTTTCCAATTCGGCTTAGCTTTTCTATGACAATCAATAAAGCTCAAGGGCAAACAAATCTGAATGTAGGTGTTTATCTACCGAAATCAGTATTCTCGCACGGACAACTTTATGTGGCGTTGTCTAGAGGGATATCACGGGGCAATATAAAGGTGTTAGTGAAGTATGTTAAAAAAAATTATCGTGTCGAAGTCTACACCTCAAATGTCGGCTATCAAGAAGTTTTGCGTGATGAATAAGGTATAATCAACAATTATATCATTATACATTTGGTACCATATGTTTCTATTAAAATCATTGCGCCAGTTTTTGCAGAAAATATTTACGGATGAGTGCATCATGAAAATTAACAACAGTTTGGATATATGGATGAACATTATTTACAAATGATTGTATTTTTTGTTCGGTCAAGAATTTCAAGTTTTGTAATGAGCTATGAGTATATGGGTTTAGAAACCCAATACGTGTGAAATTATTTTTTCATTCGATCTTGCTAATACACCGTATTAACCTTCAACTTTATATATTAGTTGACTTGCAAAATAATCACACACACTCATGATTCAAGGTCAAACCAATATTTCAGAATTATGATTCACCCGCGCTGCATCGCACGAATACACCACTAATATATATATATATATATATATATATATATATATATATATAAATGAAAGCCGTGCATTTCTAAGAAACCGTGTAAACTAATTTCGACCAACAGGAAAATTCTATTTTTTTAATTAAATTTAATCAATAAGGGTATTTCGGTCATTTACAATATTTTCTATTAAATATAGAAATTATTAATAAATCTTAATTAAGAAAACGTAATAAAGGAAATTTTATAAATGGTAACATTTAAATATTTAATTATATTATAATATTAACAATTTGAACTAAATATATTGTGATGCAATTGAATATGCTGGTGAATCTTGAAGATTGTAAGGCATAATGTAATGAATTCATCAAATCATGATTGAACAAAAAAATTAATACAAATGAAACAGGGTTCATGTCGCACATAAAAAATGAGTAGTGAAACATTTTCATGGTGAACTTGTTTCATTGATGGTGTAGTTGATCCATTTAGTAGGTGAAGTGGAAAATGAAATGGATGCATAATGCATTTGGTTCGTCATGAACTAATTGCATGATGGAACAAGTACATGATGAATCTGCTACAGAATCTTGAAGATTGTAATCTGCTCCAGAATCTTGAAGATTGTAATCTGCTCAAGAATCTTGAAGATTGTAATATGCTCAAGAATCTTGAAGATTGTAAGGCTTAAATGAATGAATTCATCAAATCAGGGGTGAAATACGAAAATTAATGTACATGAAATGAGTTTCATGAAGGTGAAACTGGTTCATGGCGTTATTGAACCATGAGTAGTGAAACGGGTGCATAATGTATTTGGTTCGTCATGAAATAATTGCATGATGAAACGGGTACATGAAGAATCTACTCCAGAATCTTGAAGATTGTAATATACTTCAGAATCTTTAAGATTGTAAGGTTGAAAGGAATGGATTCATTAAATCAGGAGCGAAATTAAAAAATTAATTTACATGAAACATGTTTCATGAAAGTGAAACTGTTTCATGGCGTAATTGAACAATAAGTAGTGAATTGGTTTGATGGTGAACCCCGTTTTAGTAATGGTGAAATGTAAAATGAAACGGGTGCATAATGTATACGGTTCATCATGAAACATACCTCCATTATTGCCGACCATTTTTCTTCAATATATTGAAGATCGATGTTTTTTAGTAACACTATATTCGAAAAGGAAGAATTGGAATACCTTCGCCTATGTGATGAAGACGGGATTCAAACGGACAAAGATCGATTAGGATGTTACATAATATGTATTTTTGTTTACCATTTTGCCCTTATTGCTTATATAAAAACAAAATTTTAATATATATATTTTTTAATTTTCTAAAATAAACTAAACTAATCTTGACCATTGATCAAGAAAGTAGATGGATGAGATTGGTTTACACGGTTTTCACAAATGGTGGCAGTTTTTATTTGAGCGCTCATATATATATATATATATATATATATATATATATATATATATATATATATATA